TCTAGACAAGTTTTGAGTAGCCGAATCTCTGGAGCTGATAATCGGTTTAAGCGGAACGTCCTTCTTGTGGATTTTGGGTAGACCATACAAGTGAGGGGGCTTACTGTGGTGCGGTGTTAGCCATGATCTTTCCTTGTCCGAAAAATAGACTTGGTGTTTTTTCAAAATCTGGTACAACTTCCTTTCGATTGATGCAGTAGGGTCCCGTACGATCTTTGTGTATCGTCCCTTCAGCTATTCATTTTCGATTCTTCTTTTTTAGTTGTTTCAGGGATTTCAAATCATTTTATATAGTAGACAATGGAAGTCCGAACTAGTGAAATTCATCATGAAACATTGTCAATCACCTTCAAATATCCAGTAAGTGTTCAAATTTCAATTCCTAATTTTAATATTCAATAAGTTGAAATAATATTTTTTCATCAAAGGTCCAAAGTTGACGTGTCTGGCGCAAGCCAGAGCACCAGTTTGATAATGCATTTTAAGCTCTCTGGGAAAATTATAGATTTCGGTACCACAGTTCCGAAAGGTCGAGCTTTTTTTTGTGAAATTTCCACCTCTTTTTGAATATGTATTCAAATTTGAAAAATGTCAAGTAGTTTTTGAGGTATTTGCAAAAAACAAACCCCATTTTTTTCGATCAATTGTTATGTTATGACATTTGAAAGTTTAATTTTTTCATCTACACGCTCTTCCGAATCGAGTGACATCTCGTTCACTTATATTTACAAGGCGGAGAAAAAAATGTTTAACCTGAAAGGCACTTGCGTGAACTAGACTACTAGTATTGAACGTTTTACTTAGTATTTTAGAAGAAAGAGATCATTCCGAATTGATAGACTTCAGTGTTCTGACGGGAACAAAATGGGACAGAGTCGACAATCAAATGATGCTTGCTCGTGTTGCCGAACGTACTTGCAAAAGCGGAATGAAAAACGAGAATTTCCAGAATTTCCTTAAAGAAAATAACGAATTCGATCTCATTTTGATGGAAGTCTTCAACACCAACTGTTTTATGGGCCTGGCAAAAATATATCAAGCTCCAGTGATAGGTGAGTTGCACAGCATTCTAGAGGATGAGTGAAAGTTGTTTTCCGGTTTTTTGGCCGTCGAATGCAGGTTTTATGCCTGCGTAATGTAAACCACTGGAAAATCCATCGACTATTTTGAGAAGGAAAATACCATAAACAGTAAATATTGTATAGTGTTATTGGAGTGTTTGAATGTCAAAATTGCAAGTAAACGACCGCATATGGCAATGAAAAACAATTTGTTTCATCAAGATAACACACCGTGTTACGAGTCAATCAAAACAAGGCAAAGCTACATGAACTGAACTTCGAATTGCTCCCACATCCACCGTATTCGCCAGATTTGGCTCACAGCGACTACTTGCTGTTTGCAGACCTCAAAAAAATGCTCACGTGAACAAAAACCACGTGTTTTCTTTCTCAGGCCCGGGACTTTTCAGCCCAGGTGTTATTAAGGAAAATATTGGATGAAAAGCCATGATGTAAAGGGTTTGGGCCATAAGAAATTAGTTATCATCGTTCTGTAGCGCTCGATGTTGACGGTGACCGCCTCACCGTCCCGTGGGTTGGGCTATCTATCGGGCGCGTCCCCAGGTGGGGACGGCCAGGGGACTGGAGGCCCTGTCCGGGAAGCCAATGTGGCCTTACGGACGGGGTCGCCGGACTCCTGGTCAGTGGCAGAAATAAGTAGGGTGAGGGAACTGAAACCCCCCAAAAGCCTTTGCAAAACATGTCATCGTGGACCAGCCTACCCAAGCTGAGGTGTAAGGAATCGTGTCGACAGCTGAATGGCCGCAGGGTAATATGAGGTCACGAACGATCCTCTTGGGGGAACTGGGCGAAACCTCATTGTAGTCAGCCTACCTCTGGTAATGCGGGGCTCTGCCAGAGGTGACCAACTCTTTCCTTGCTACTCGTGGGAACACACATGAATGAAACAAACACAAAAACAGAAATAACAAAAACAAAAACCAATTCCGAGAATGGACAGAAGGGCTCACCCCAATCTAAGGCGGTGGCTGGGGTTGAACAGAAATGTCCACCCCAATCTACCGCTTGGGATGAGGCTGGCCATAGCAGATCACCTCGTGATCTAATGCAAAGGCCAAGGCGTAAGCGCATTTGCGGCGCCGAGGCCAAAAGGAGAAAGAGAGCAAATGAGGCAGGAGCTCCGGCAACTATAAGTGCACCCTCCTCCTCCCCCACTCCATCTCCAACAGCAAGGGCACTTCCTGCGGCGTGCGCCAAGAGCTGCACCTTGAATAAAGGCTAGGAACCGGCTGCCCCTGTAGGAAAGCTCCCTCACTTGTGCACCTCCACGGAGGGAACCCCAAGAAGGTTGAAGAAGCCGCGAATGACAGTGATATCGCTGCATCTTCTAAAACCTTCTCGGAGGCCACCGTGAGACACCTCAAAGTTGCCGAAGAGAGTGTGTGTTCGGCGAGTCTTGGCCTTCACCTGCCAATATGAAGGAGATGTCTTCTAGTGACCTGTCCACCTTCCTGGAAACGAGAAGATGGACGATGACATAGGAGGACAACTCCTCGGGAGGATGTACAATGGGTCACATGTGGCCTAAGTGCTGTGGGTGTATACTTACCCTCCCTACTCTACAGATACACAAAGCCACCAAAGTTTTCTTTCTACTTTTAAAACGTTCACAATGCACTCTGCTGTGATGATTTGGCCCAGTAGCAGAAAGTTATAGCGAATCACACCAGCCACCGACAACCATACAGTAACCATGGTTTAATAAACCGAAACCGGTCGTATCTAATGAAAATATCAGTAGAAATTAGACAAAAGTTATTGTCTTTATTCTATATTTAATATTTTCTAGGGATGTTATCAGCAGTTCCAATGCCCTGGGCTCCTCTATGGTTTGGCTCCCCCGTCAACCCGTCTTACATTCCTAACCAGAATTTGGGTTTCTCGGACAGGATGACCTTTCTGGAAAGAGTAGCAAATTCCTTATTTTTCGTCTTCATGAAGGTCACTTATGACTATTTAATGGCAAAACCAGGAAATGATTTTTCAAAGCGGTTTACAGGACAAGGTGTGTAGAGTTGTACCAGTTTAATTTTGCATTGTGTAATTGAAACCAGTTTTCGATTTAATTCATTCATGAATATTTTGATTTCATTTCTTACCCAGATGTGTTAGACAATGGCGATATAATGTACAACATGAGCCTTATGTTTACAAATTCTCACTTCTCTTTGAACCTGCCGAAGCCTTTGGTACCCAGCATCATTGAGATCGGGGGGATTCATTTGGAAAAGCCCAAAAAATTGCCTGACGTAAGTACCTAATGTCTCAAAACTTTCATTTTATCATTCATTATAGTTGAACAAGCAACATCAGATTTGACCGAAATTCCTTTCTCAACTGTATCTAAAATAGTCAAAAACAAACCTTATGAACGCAGAACGCGATGTGATACAGTATTACCAAAACCTTCAGATGTTCATCTAATAAAATCATTGAAAACAACAATTTACGACTCATACAAAAGCAATGATATTTCTACAATTGAAATCATAAGGAAGAAATTGGATACTTTCGGCCATAACGTGAGCTGCTGTAACAAAACTCTTCAGAATTGGATAAAGAAACTAGGATTTGATTTAAAATAATAAACAAACGTCAAGCAGTTATGGAAAGCAGAAGAATAGTGGAATTGCGGAACAAACACTTAGAACAAATAATTAAATATAGACAAAAACAACGGAAAATTTTCTATTTGGACTAAACTTGGTATGACACTCACGACACAGTAACGAAAGGGTGGATTGATGGTTCGAGAATGTGTACGCCTAACATGCCTGCAAACAAAGGATCGCGACTAATCATTGTGCACTGCGGAGGAAGTAACGGATGGGTTCCAAAATCTTTGAAGCTTTACAGACAAAAGCGTTTGAAAAAGTGTATGCCCTTGAGAGTATTGCTGAAAAGTATAGACACAGCATATACTGAGAATTCTTCCCTATTTTTCTTTTTTCAATTCCATCGAGTTGATTTGGGGAAAATTGAAACGAAGCATGAGGCGTAAAAATAATTTTCCAAAATTTGATAAGAAGGTACCTAATAGAGCTAATTAAAGAAGAAATATCTAATATTAGCGGAGAAGACTGGTGAAAGAGGAATAAAAACGTAATTTTAGTTGAAAAAGACTATATGAAAATTGGACACTTCCATATTAATGGTGGAAATAAATTCATTATTAATTTGAATTACGACAGTGATGGTGAAACAGATAATATGGAAGAGGAATTATCAGGAAGAGAAAGTATCAACTTAAACTGATACGTCAAGAAGAGTACTTTGACCACGCCACTGAAGATGACTGTTGTAGTTGCAGTTGAAACGTTTGAAGATTATAACCAAAGAAAACCGCGGCAAAAAACCGGAATCCAACCAAAACATTGACGCCAGCTGTGAAATCGTGCATTCCTATATAAATCTATCACACATTTGTACTATTTGATACGACTCTTTTAATTTGAAGTTGAAAATGTTTTTTTCTCACCATTTTCTATTTTTTTCATGGCTGATTTGTTTTTTCGTACAGTTCGCACTCGTTTTCGAACCTCCAAAGTAAAAATAAAATATTTGTTACAGTTTCACTTATTATTGCTATTATCTCTCTATCTACTGTTGCTTCCTCTTGCATAAATCTTAATACTTTTCAAAGACAACAAATAACGCACCGTCCACCACACGATGTTCACTACACGAGTTTTTCGATGTTAATGAGCTCACGCCCCACTCCACCGGCGCATCTAATATTCAAAGGCACAGCTAATTGGCCGAACTGTACAATGTGGCCGTTGCTAGGTACTTTTTTTCACAACCATAATTTTTTAGCATATTGCGAAATTCATCAACGAATCAGCTTCAGGAGTCGTTTACATGAGTTTAGGTTCAACCCTCAGAAGCGACTCGATGACGACGGAGAAAAAATCGGCGTTCATGACAGCATTTTCCCGCCTCAAACAGCGGGTGATCCTGAAGTGGGAATCGGACATAGAAGATAAACCAGCAAATGTTATGATCCTTCGATGGGCACCACAACTTGACATTTTATGTAAGTATTTTATTATTAGTCAGTGGGCTATGCTTGTAGACAGGCAGTAAACAAATCTAAAGAAATGCACTTTAAACGTTCAAGCCTGTCTCGAATATACCTACACAGTAGGTTGAATGGACGGACGCCTATCAGAAAACAACTACTCCCCTGGCTAATACCACGAAGGGCGTTGGATTATATCCGACAGGCGTCAGTGCAGGGGCATAGCCTACTGACTACTAAGAAAGTTTTTCTTCCTTATTCAGAGGAGTCGGGCAAATTACGGATATGCAGTTGGTTAGTACCTCGTCCACTAGATGGAGTGACATTTTGTGATGTTCGCTCCAACTTCGGAAGAGGAATGAAATACTCTGAAAGAATTTCGATTTTCAATTATGGAATATCATTGACTTTAGGTCGATTATGGCCACTATCTTTCACTGATGAGTGGTTAATGAGCCCGAAACCGGTCTGCAAGTGTGCCCGTTTCAAAATTGAAGGTCGACTCTTTCAAATGTATTGCCAATTGCATATGCAGGAAATTTTCTGTGAATATTCCTGCACTGATGTCTGTCGGATATAATCCAACGCCCTTCGTGGCATTAGCCAATGGAGTAGTTGTTTTCTGATAGGCGTCAGTCCATTCAACCTACTGTGTAGGTATATTCGAGACTGGCTTGAACGTATAAAATTGATTTCTTTATAAGTAGTTTATGATCAGTCTTGCTTCGGTTCAATTGAATCGAATGTACCTACATATTGGTGAGGGCCCCTCTTTCGGCAAATGTGAATATTTAAAACGAGTACTGTTCCCAAATACCAGAACTGCAGCGTTATTCCTGAAGCGCGTTTCCCAACCAAGTTGGCGTTTTTAGGAGATGCAGTAGACTAATGTCTACATGTAAACCTGGCCTATCCATGAAGTCTTTCGTTAGCGCTTCCTATCTTCAAATGTAAATAAAACAAGTTGGTGATATCATCGAAATTTTTTATTCGTTTGGAAGACCTGTACCCCTAGTTTATAATAATGCAAGGTAAGGTAATGTAATGCAGAGAGGTAAGGTAAGGTATCCATTTTTTGACGTTCACGAAAAAGTAAAGTATGAAGAATTGCCATAGTGATTATAGGTTTTGGTAATTTTTGGGTTGGCAGGAATGCATAAACAAATATTGACATTACATTTCATTTCCATAATCTTGACAGCAGCAATCATTCATATGAAATAAGTAATAACTTTCATTTGTTCAATATCATGGAAGACGCATATATGATATCTTTAATAGAACAATGCCCAATAATTTATGACAAACAAAAAAAAATAAAACAAATTAATGAAGGAGAAGGCGTGGCAGGTGATTGCCAAAATAATAGGGCTACCAGAGGAGCAATGTCAAAGATATATTGGGGCTGAAATTTTCCACAGAACACCGCAAATTTCCTTAATGATTTTATGGGTTGTGGTTTCTCCCATGCCTCCGACTGTTGTGAAGTTTCTTGCGATAAATAACTGAACAATTTTGTTCGATACATATTTACAATTTCAACAATTCAAACATATCACAGCGGATATGTTTTTGACAGGTTTTGCGTTTTGTCGACATACGGGCGTTGGTCAATTGTTCACTGAACCAGGTCACTAAAATTTATTCGCCACATTGCGCATAGGGCGATTATGGCGTCCGTAACAACAAATTTTACAGATGTAGCTTCTTCAAGATGGCAGTTATGAATATTGGTATGAGTTGCATATGGAAGCAATTTTTAGCAAGCACCTAATTAGCACTTTATTACCACGCTTAGTTTATACCTGATAGAGCATTCGTCCACGTTTTCGAGAGACCTGATTCTTAGATCTGTTGGTACCTAAAAAGCACCAAAAAATTACCTAATTTTGGCATTTTCTAAATGCGATTTCCGTACTTTGCGTTGTTGGCGTACCAGAGCTGAAAACAGAACGATAGTAATTATTGGAAAAAAATCAATTATTAATGAAGTTTTTTGACTATTATTAACCTGAGTAAATTCAAAAACAATAATTTCTCCTTTTTTCCAAAGGGAATCTATTGTAATCCCTTTCCGAAGTAANAGTTATGTAGTACAAGTTATTTTCATAAAATAAATTATAACTTCAAGCGAATACGGTCCATACCCTTCTGTAGCTCTTCATGGCCTCGAACATATACATACGAATATTTCATTAACTTACCTATGAAATGTCACACCGAAAAACGCCTTATTTTTGTTTGCACTATTATTAAAACACTCTAAAAGAGAACACTAAACCATTTTGATTTCGAAAACCGAGCGTTAAATGCCTATTCAAAAGAGAGAGCTAAGAATACTGAATCACGACTAAACGCTTCGATTCATCTTACCATAAGTTCACCATACATCAGTCGTCACTTGTCGATTTGAGTGCTTATTTTATTTGTTTCTACTTTCTTGAATTGAAATTATTATCATTTACGAAATACAGAGTGGTTTCTTACTAGAAATACCTAGGCAATTGAGTATGTGACCATTCCGTATCAAATATTATTTTGATTTCCAATCTCTTGTTTCTTCAGGTGACCCCAACGTGAAAGCTTTCATTTCTCACGGAGGAATGGGGGGCCTCATGGAAGCGGTCCACTGTGGTGTTCCAGTTATAACAGTCCCCCAATTAGGAGACCAACATCTAAACGCCAAAGCTTTAGAGGCTAGTGGAGGGGGCGTCATTTTGGATTTGAAGTCAATAACGGAAACCGTTCTTGTGGAAGCTTTGAATAAAGTTCTCAGCTCCGAGTAAGTTGCTAAATAAATAGTGTGATTATGAATGATGAAAAGGCAGTGATTGGTGCTAGCTTTTCTCGAAATACATGTTGTCTTCGTTAAGTACAACAGAACTATTTCAAACACTCTTTCTCTTTGTTTCAGAATGGAACAAAGTATGAAGTCTCTTTCAGCAAGGTTCAATGACCGTCCACTGTCTCCTAAGGAGACTGCGATATATTGGATTGAATACGTGATTAGACATAAAGGGGCTTTCTTTATGAGAACTGCTGCTGTTGACATGCCCTGGTACCAACAGCTTCTGCTAGATGTTATTGGGTTTTTACTACTGATAGTGGGATTAGTTGCATATGTGTTCTACAGAATTGGTTCCTTAGTATTCAACAAGTTATTTAAGCAGCAAATAAAAGTGAAGAAGTCTTGATTTGAATAAATGATCTTTTCAATTGAAGCATTGTGTAGGAAAAAGTCTTGTTCACAGAGAAAAACAATGATTGAGCCTCATCATAATGAAAACATGTACATACTGAAAGTTCCTCTAGTTTGAATTTGTGAAAATTCAGAAAAATAATTATTAGGTTGATTGAAGAATAAATTGTGTTCGTTTTAATGTCATGTGTTTTTGTAGCTCCCATATCTCGATAAATATTCATTGTACTGTGCCGTCGTACATACTGATTGATGGAGAATTTTATATTCTATACAGGGTGTTCCTTAAACACATGCTAATATTTAAGGAGGTAATTCTTATACCCATTTTAAGGAAAAAACGTCCTATGGACGTATGTCCTAAACGCCTTAACTTTTGAGATACAGGGTGGCAAAGTTTTCAAAAATAATCAGTTTTTTAATAATAACTGAGATAATTTTGTAGACATCTTTGGCATATTTGGTACATATGTTCCATGCCTCAAGGCGCAT